CATTTTTTCAATGTCTCACTATCACCCAACAAATATCAATATCAACAGTATGACCAGGATATGGGTTTTTTTACAAATTTTGGAAATGTTTGAAAACAGGCCCTGCAACCACCTTTTGCACACCACAGAGCATGTGCAGTTTACCCAACTGTCCCAAAAGTGAAGCTACTCCATCTCAGAAGAGCCCTGCTGGATGAGACCCATCTAGTCCAGCATCCTGCCTCACACAGGGGCCAACCAGTTCCTCTGAACAGCCAACAACAGGGCAGAGAGGCTGAGGCCTTCTCCAGATGTTGCCACCTGGAGGTCCCCCTCAGTCACCGTGGCTAGTAGCCACTGATAGACATATCCTCCATGAATCTTCAAGCTTTTTATTACTGTGGCCACCCTCTGGCAGCGAATTCCACGTTTTAATCACTCGCGGTGTAAAGTGGTGTTTCCTTTTCTCCATCCTGAGCCTACTGCCCATCAGCTCCATTGGATGCCCTCGAGTTCTAGTTGTTTAGGAGAGAGAGGGAAAACTTCTCTTTCTCAACTCTCTCCACCCCAGGCATCATTTTATAAACCTCTATCATGGTCCCTCCCTTACTCCCTCCTCTTTTCTCAACTGAATTGTCCCAGACTCTTCAGCCTTTTCGTCACAGGGGAGGTGCTGCAACCCCCCAAATCATCTTGGTTGCCCTCCTCTACTTTTTCCGGCTCTGCAGTGGCCTTTTTGGCATACGGTGACCAGAACTGCACACAGTATTCCAAATGAGGCCGCACAAGAGATCTACACGGGGCATTACAATATCGACTGTTCTATTCTCTCTCTCTCTCTCTCTGATATTATTTTGTATTTTTCATACATACATGCAGGGCTCTTTTGGTAGCAGGAACTCCTTTGCATATTAGGCGACACACCCCTAATGTAAGAAGAGCTCTGTAAACTCTTGGAGGATTGGCTACATTAGGAGGTGTGTCCCTAATATGCAAAGGAGTCCCTGCTACAAAGAGCCCTGCATACACGTGGTGTGTGTTTGCATGTGAGTGAGTGTGTTTGCACCCGGAAGTCATGGCGACCTCCCAGGGGTCATTTCCTGCGGGAGCGCACAGGAGCGGAGCTCCAGCAGTAAGGAGCCCAGGGGGCGGGCACATGCAACAAGCCCCACCCCCTGCTCCCAGCAGCCTTCAGTCAGGCCACCAGGAGCGAGAAGCAGCCAGATAAGTTGCAGAGCTCCCCCCGGCCCAACGGTCCAAAACAATCCAGTGGCACCTTTAAGACCAAGTTTAATTCAAGTACAAGCTCTCCCTCCTCTGTGAGGGCAGATCTGTGCGTTCCCCCCCCCCACACACACACAGCTAGCAATCCAAAACAGTCCAGTGGCACCTTTAAGACCAAGTTTTATTCAGGTAGAAGCTCTCCCTTCCTCTGTGAGGGCAGATCTGCACGTCTCCCCCCCTCCCAATAGCTAGCAATCCAAAACAGTCCAGTGGCGCCTGAGCGGTGGGTGTGGCCTTCTGACACACTTCCGGTGATGCCAGGGGGTGTGACCAGTGTTCCCTCTAAGCTGAGTTACTGTGAGCTAGCCCACAGTTTTTTAGCCTCTGGCTCACACATTTTTGTCTCCGCTCAGGAAGGAGGGCTCCAGAGCAAACCAATTTATGCAGCAACCAAATCGCTCGCTCACAATTTTAACGCAAGTAGCTCACAAAGTAGAGTTTTTGCTCACAAGACTCCACAGCTTAGAGGGAACATTGGGTGTGACATATGCAAATAAGTTATGCTAATAAGTTATGCTAATGAGCTCCTGCACCTCTTTTTCTACAAAATGACCCCTGCTGGTGACTGACCCCTACTAGGGGCCTGGAGGATATTTGGAGAGATGGCTGAATAAAGCCTGTCCCTGCCTCCCAACTGCTGGTATTCCGAGGAGGTCCCCCATCCAAGTACTTGCCAGAGTCGACCCTGCTTAGCTTCCGAGATATGACAAGACAGGGCTTCCCTGGGCTATATCCAGGTCGGGACTCGGCAGTTTTATTCTCCGTCCCTTTCCTAATAATGCGTCACACAGAGTTTGCCTTTTTCACGGCTGTGGCACACCGGGTCGACACTTTCATCGAGATAGACCCCAAGATCTTTTTCCCTCTCCGTTCCAGCAAGTTGAAGCCAGGGCTCTTTTTGTAGCAGGAACTCCTTTGCCTATTAGACTACCCCTAATGTAGCCAATCCCCCAAGAGCTCACAGAGCTCTCCTTACAGGGGCTACTGTAAGCTCTTGGAGGATTGGCTACATTAGGGGTGTGTCGCCTAATATGCAAAGGAGTTCTTGCTACAAAAAGAGCCCTGCCTGAAGTTGGGGTTTTTTTTTTTTTTTGTCCAGATGTGCATCCCCTTAAACTCACCTACACTTAATTTGCCACGTTGTCGTCCACTCATCCAGTTTGTGGGGATCCTCTTGGGGTTCTTCGGGGCCAGCCTTGGTTTCCACCTGCCTGAATGATTTTGTGTTCTCTGAAAAACTTCTTCGATCCCCTTCTTCATTCGGATGTCAAGCCTTTCCCCCCCCCATACGTCTCGGGCTGACTCTCTGCTGCCACCTCCAGGCCAACAGGGAGAGGTGCATCTGCCCTGTAATAGTTCGGTCTCCAGAGACCCTACTGCAGACCTTTAAGAAACTTTTCTCTAGAAGAACACAGCACTAAAGAGAGTGAAGAAGAGGGAGCAGTGGCATCTTCAGATGAGGACTCAGATTCTAAACTGGGGGCGGCAGCCCCGAAGACAAGCTATCAACTGAGAAAGAAAAAAACATTAAAAATGAGATCTTATAGTACTCTGAAATCTCTTACAATGTTGTGTGATACTAATTTCTTTTATTGCTCTTTAATAACTCAGAAACAGTGGTGTTTAAATTCTTACTTTAGTCGAAATAGATTAATAGATGATCACTTTCAATGAACTTGAATTGAATGTTGAGTTTAAGACTAACTTGTTAAGCAGTGGGTTTTCTTTTCTTTCTCCCATACTTTGTAGATCCCCTTCCTAATTTTCGTTGTAGTTTATAGAAAATGCAAATTAAAAAATCCCCTACGGGGGGCATAAAAAAGAAACTTTTCTCCAAATTAAAAATCATTCGCCCTCCCGAAACCTCCATGAAACCAGCAAACCCTTTGTTAAAAATTGGGTTTCATAGATCCTCAGACGCACTACTAGTGATCAGCTCTATTTTATTTTGTGATTTCAGGCACACTACAAGGACAAAGTCCAGGGCTTGCTTCCCTGTTTATAAAGCATGCAAAGACCACACCCTAACACACCCCACTCCCAATGATAGGCTATTTACATAATACTACATCTCTATTGGCCCTCTCCAGAATCCTAGTAAGCTACTGTTCTGGGGTAACAAGCTCAACCAGTTTCAGGTACTAGCTCAGGGATGACTCATGGCTCAGTGGATGAGTCATGGCTCAGTAAACAACACCCTTGGAAATCAAACTGGTTAGAAATATGCCCAGTTCAGCAAACCCCGCCTGCTGTGACTGGTCCAATTTCAGCAACAGTACATGGTGTGAGTGTCTCACCGGGCTAATAAGCCGATAGCATATTGGATCCGCTTCAAGGTGCTGGTTCTTACCTTTACAGCCTTTTATGGTGACAACAAGGACCAGGGCCTTCTCGGTGGCAGCTCTGCTCTGGTGGAACGAGCACCCAGAGGAGATCAGGGCCCTGCGGAACTTTATGCAGTTCCGCAGTGCCTGTAAAAAGGAGCTCTTCCACCAGACTTTTGAAGCCGCCACCACTGCTAACCACCGTGGTTAACAACTGATAGCCGAAGGTGAGAGAGCCCTTTTGTTGGCACGGAACTTTTAATAACAACTTGAGTCAGCTGCTGGGAGGAAAATTAAAAGAAGATCAAAGAACCAACTATGAGATGAGTGGATTGAGTAATCACAGCCATCGGGAAGTTAATGTTAATAGCACTTTACTGTGTTGAACAGCTTAAATGGTTTTTTTGGAATAGTTTAGGATTTGCGAAAACTTCAGGTGGTGAGACCCATTTTGGTATCTTAGTATAGAAAAGTATTATAATTTCTTCCCATACCTTCAGTAAGGATCTTATAAAGATGTGCTGTTTAAAATACTTGTGTGTATTGTCTCTACCATACCATACAAATGCATGCCAGCCCAATACTAAATCATGGCCCTCCAACTTTAGTATTCTTGAGTTATCCAATGTGATCCATTCTTTCACCCACGTCAGTGTACATGCTTTATAATATAGAGACCAATCTGATAGAGCAAATCCAGCTATTTCCTTTGCATCCTGTAGCGCTTTCAACTTTATTCTTGGTCTCTTGCCTTGCCAAATCAATTGTTTCATCAGTTTATCCAGTTCTTTAAAATACTGTTGATTTGGTAAAATTGGAATTGTTTGAAACAAAAAGATCAGCCTTGGTCGAATGTTCATTTTTATAGTGGCTATTCTTCCCATTAATGATATTTGCAAATCTTTCCACTTTTCCAAATCTTTTTAAATTTCTAATAAAAGTTTCATATAATTGTCCTTTCTTAAGGAGCTGCATCTGCACCACAGGAGGTGGTGGTGGCTACAAGCATGGACGGCTTCAAGAGGGAATTAGATAAGTATATGGAGCAGAAGTCCATCAGTGGCTATTAGCCACAAGGTATAGATAGGAACTCTCTGTCTGGGGCAAGTGATGCTCTGTATTCTTGGTGGTTGGGGGGGGCAACAGTGGGAGGGCTTCTAATGTCCTGGCCCCACTGCTGCACCTCCTGATAGCACCTGGTATTTTTGTTGGACTAGATGGGCCATTGGCCTGATCCAACATTGACTTCACTTATGTTTTTATGACTACATCTGTGATTGAATCTGTTCCCACACTCTAAGCGTTCAAAAGGTTTCTCCCGTGTGTGTTCTAAGATGCTGTTGAAGAATGCTACTCAACTGGAATCCTTTCCACACTCTGAGCATTCAAAAGGTTTCTCCCCTGTGTGGATTCTTAGGTGCTGTTAGGTTTTGCCCCTGTGTGGGTTCTTTGATGTTCTTGAAGATGGATGCTCTTACTGAATTTTTTCCCACACTCTGAGCATTCAAAAGTTTTCTCCTCTTTGTGGGTTCTTAGGTGCTGTTGCAGATGGCTATTCTGATTGAATTTCTTTCCACACTCTGAACATTCAAAGGGATTCTCCCCTGTGTGGGTTGTTTGATGCAGTAGAAGACTGCCACTCCTACTGAATCTCTTTCCACACTCTGAGCATTCAAATGGCTTTGTGTGGGTTTTTAGATGCCGTTGAAAATTGCTACTGTAACTAAATCGCTTTCCACACTCAGAGCAGTTAAAAGGTTTCTCTCCTGTGTGAGTTCTTTGGTGCAGCTGAAGATTGCCTCTGATACTGAATTTCTTTCCACACTCTGGGCATTCAAACGGTTTCTTCCCCGTGTGGGTTCTTAGGTGCCGTCGAAAATTGCTACTGTCACACAATCGCTTTCCACACTCAAAGCATTCAAATGGTTTCTCCCCTGTGTGGATTCTAAGATGTTGTTGAAGACTGCCACTCAACCGGAATCTCTCTCCACACTCTGAGCATTCAAAAGGTTTCTCCCCTGTGTGGATTCTTAGGTGATGTTGAGGCTTCACTGCTGTGTGAGTTCTTTGATGCTTTTGAAGACGGCTGCTCTTATTGAATTTTTCCCCACACTCTGAGCATTCAAAAGTTTTCTCCTCTTTGTGGGTTCTTAGATGCTTTTGTAGATGGCTGTTCTGAATGAATTTCTTTCCACACTCTGAACATTCAAACGGTTTCTCCCCTGTGTGAGTTCTTTGGTGCAGTTGAAGACTGCCACTCTGATTGAATCTCTTTCCACACTCTGAGCATTCAAATGGCTTTGTGTGGGTTTTTAGATGGCGTTGAAAATTGCTACTGTAACTAAATCGCTTTCCACACTCAGAGCAGTCAAAAGGTTTCTCTCCCGTGTGCTTAGGTGCTGTTGCAGATGGCCGTTCTGATTGAATTTCTTTCCACACTCTGAACATTCAAAAGGTTTCTCCCCTGTGTGGGTTCTTCGATGTACTTGAAGACGACCACTCTTATTGAATTTTTTCCCACACTCTGAGCATTCAAAAGTTTTCTCCTCTTTGTGGGTTCTTAGGTGCTTTTGCAGATGGCTATTATGAATGAATTTCTTTCCACACTCTGAACATTCAAACAGTTTCTCCCCATTGTGAGTTCTTTGATGCAGTTGAAGATTGCCACTCCGACTGAACCTCTTTCCACACTTTGAGCATTCAAAAGTTTTCTCCTCTTTGTGGGTTCTTAGGTGCTTTTGCAGATGGGTTTTCTGAATGAATTTCTTTCCACACTGTGAACATTCAAACGGTTTCTCCCCTATGTGAGTTCTTTGATGCAGCTGAAGATTGCCACTGCTACTGAATTTCTTTCCACACTCTGAGCATGCAAAAGGTTTTTCTCCTGTGTGGATTCTTAGGTGCTGTTGAAGACTACCTCTGTGATTGAACCTCTTCCCACACTCTGAGCATTCAAAAGGTTTCTCCCTTGTGTGGGTTGTAAGATGCTGTTGAAGAATGCCACTCAACTGGAATCTCTCTGCACACTCTAAGCGTTTAAAAGGTTTCTCCCCTCTGTGGATTCTTAGGTGCTGTTGAGGTTTCGCCCCTGTGTGGGTTCTTTGATGTTCTTGAAGATGGCTGCTCTTATTGAATTTCCCCCCACACTCTGAACATTCAAACGTTTTCTCCTCTTTGTGGGTTCTTAGGTGCTTTTGCAGATGGCTGTTCTGAATGAATTTCTTTCCACACTCTGAACATTCAAACGGTTTCTCCCCTGTGTGAGTTCTTTGATGCAGTTGAAGATTGCCACTCTGATTGAATCTCTTTCCACACTCTGAGCATTCAAAAGGTTTCTCCCCTGTGTGGTTTCTTAGGTGCACAAGGAGCTGTGATCTATATTTAAAGTACTTTCCACACTGAAAGCATTTACATGCCTTTGTTAGAATGTTCCTTGGTAAAGTTTTATTTCCCTGCCTTCCATCAGAATATGTCATTCTACTATCTGAACAGATAAATGGCTTCTCTCCTGAATGATTGCTTTGGTGTTTAATAAGGTCTGATTTCCGCGAGAAACTCTCATCACTCTCTGAGCAACTATAATGCTTCTCTCCTGAATGTGTTTGTTGATGTTTAAGGAGCTCTGCTCTGCAAAGGAATCTCTTTCCACACTCCCGGCATTGATGGGTCTTCTTTCCACTGTGCACTTGCAAATGGATTTTATATTGCATTTGATCTGAGAAGTTCATTCCACACTCCGACTTGTACGTCTCTTCCACCACGTGAATTACTTCATGGAAATGCCCCACTTGGCAAGGAACACGTTGATCCGTCTTCTTGACTGTGTGTCTTCCTTTCTGCCTCTTGGGTCTGCCTTGATTCCTGAAGTTTCCTCTCAAGTCTTCATTCTTGACTTCACCTGGGGACAGATGATGCAGTTCCTCATCCTCCTCATTCCTCTGATCGCCCTCTGTTGGAATAAAGAGAGAGATCCCATTAGCACCCACACAAGGAGTCTGATTGGCCCTTGAAATTCCATCCACACTCTAAGCATTTCAGGGAGCTCTCCACAGTCAGCCTGGTTCTTCACCGCCCTGAATAATTTGGTGTCATCTGCATACTTTGCCACTACACTAGTCACACTCCTAGTTGGTGAATACATTAAATAGTACCGGCCCAAACACCGGTCCTTGTGGGACCCCACTGCTTACTTTGCTCCACTGGGAGAACTGTCCGTTGATTCCCACTCTTTGCTTCCTGTTGAAGCTAGTAAGCTCCAAGGTAGTGTGTCCTCACTGCAAGGTTCCACAAGATGGGGGAGATGCAGAGGATTACCCACATGGGGGGGGAACTGGAGAACCAGTGTTGCAGCACTGGGCAGATGATCCTGCATTGCCTGGAGGAGGGGTAAACCCCCTCCCCATGCCACTTCCTCCACCAATACCATGAGCCCGGGCCCCAGGGTAAAATCCAAAGTGGCTGGGTATTGTGAGCTCCCCCATGCCTTCTGAGCCGCAATGGAAGGGGCCCAAGGCCACGTGAACGGTGGGACCCAGGCCTAGCCAAGCTCGATAAGCCGGAGATGCCTCTTTGGTAGTGGCTGCCTTCACTGTTGACCCCCCCCCCCCAAGCACCAAGAAGACAGAGCATCACTTGCCCTAGAGTTCCTATCTAAACCTTGTGGCTAATAGCCATTGATGGACCTCTGCTCCATATGCCTATCTAATTCCCTTTTGAAGCCGTCCATGCTTGTAGCCGCCACCACTTCCTGTGGCAGTGAATTTCATGTGTTAATCACTCTTTGGGTGAAGAAGGACTTCCTTTTATCCGTTCTAACCCGACCGCTCAGCAATTTCATGGAGTGCCCAGGAGTTCTTCTATTGTGAGAAAGGGAGAAAAGTACCTCTCAATCATGTCACCCCTCAGTCGTCATTTCTCCAAGCTTTAACCTTTCCCTTCTGAGGGCACATTCCCCTTATCCTCAGCATGGTGCCTTGTTTCTCCTTGACCCTCATGCTCCCTGACAGCGGTGGGGCTGCCAGATCCAGAGTGGGACATATCTATCAAGTCCCCGAGAATCTTTTCTGTGCACCTAACTGACTGTCCCTGCTTCTCCAGGTCCGCCACCTTGGCCTCAAGGCAGAAAACTCATTCCCCGAGAACCAGAAGCTCCTTGCACTGAGCACACACCCAAGACTTCTGTCCAGTGGGCAGATAGTCATACATGTGCAAAACACTGGAGAGCCCCCAACCCCCTGCTGGCATTCAGGTTTCATAATTCTTTAAAAATAAGTAAATATAATCCCCCTTTTAAAACCCTTTGTATTTATGTGGTTTTTCTTGCTGTGGCAGCCACCCCAGGCCGAAGGATGCTGGAGCATCTGATGGTGGAGCAGACACTGTGCACACAAAGCCATGCATGTGGCAAAAGAATCAGGCTACACAGTGACCGATACAACTGGAGATCACCGGCAAAAACCCCCCCCCCATTAAGTGGAACACTTTCCCAATGAAGAAAGGTTAAAGCGCTTGGGGCTCTTTAGCTTGGAGAAACGACGACTGAGGGGTGACATGATCGAGTTTTATAAGATTAGGCATGGGATAGAGCAGGATGAGAAAGAGGTACTTTTCTCCCTTTCTCACCATACAAGAACTCATGGGCACTCCATGAAACTGCTGAGCGGTCGGGTTAGAATGGATAAAAGGAAGTCCTTCTTCACCCAAAGAGTGATGAACACATGGAATTCACTGCCACAGGAGGTGGTGGCGGCTACAAGCATGGATGGCCTCAAAAGGGAATTGGATCGACGTATGGAGCAGAGATTCATCAGTGGCTATTAGCCACAAGGTATAGATAGGAACTCTCAGGCTGGGGCAAGGGATGCTCTGTCTTCTTGGTGTTTGTGGTGGGGGCAACAATGGGAGGGCTTCTGGTGTCCTGGCCCCACTGGTGGACCTCCTGATGTTCCCTGGTATTTTTGGCCACTGCGTGACAGAGTGTTGGAGTGGAGGGGCCGTTGGCCTGATCCAACATTGGCTTCTCTAATGTTCTTAAGTGTCAGCCGATATGGCTGAAGGCCACCAGGTGGTCCATCGGGGCCCAGCCACTGAGTTTCGTGTTCAGTGGAAGGACTAGGCCCCCCGATGTGTGCAAGAAGTTGCTGAAGAACGCCCCCCAATGGCCAAACCACAGCTCCCGCATGGGGGGGGCATGAATACAATGGCAGCGCCTACTGCCAGCAGGCCCCAAGAGAGGGTTGCCTGTACCCCACCCCATCCCACACACATGCAAACCCCAGTCCCAGAGAGACGGACGTTTCATCACAACCCCATCTCAGTGCCAACCCTTTCCCTCCTCCTTCATCTTAGCAGAAATGTATAAAAGTGACCCCCTCAGTCCATCCAATCTGTAGCAGGTTTTGGATCCCATTGTGTGTCCCCCACTTGTACGCTTGGCTTCTTGACTTTCCCATCCTCCTCTGCTGTGCTTCTCCAGAGCAGCACGGCTGTCTTCAGGAAGGAGGCTGGTTGTCAGGTAGCCCTGTCATAGAACTGGAATGTGGAGGGGTGTGCACCACCACCTCCTCCTTCCCAGTTCATCCTTGTCTAGCTTCTGTCTGTTATCTCTGGCCTGACCTTGTTGTCTTTCTCCAGCTGCAAATTAACTTGCTTGGGAAACTTAACGGTTTGGGCGCTTAGCTGGTTGTCTGCTTCTGCTACACCCACGTGCGGAATGTATTCATTGGCTTGGGCTCATGGGGGGGGGGGGATATGATTACACTATAAGTCAGTGGCCATCATATTACAGGTCAATCCTGACACAAGCTGTATACTCGTTCTTTAGTAATGGACTATCAATAAAACAGTTACCTTCTTAAGAAACCTTGTGTGTATTGTGACCTGACTAAGGAGCCTGACACCTTTGGTTTTCCCCTTTTTATTTCCTCCTCTAGTAGCGGGAACTTTGTGAGGGGAAGGGTTCAAATGGTGCCTGTACTTCACAGGTGCGTTTATATCCTTTCTGTAGCGCCTGTATTTCAGTTTTCCTGACCTTACCTGGTTCTCTCTGTTAACTTAATGGATTTATTTTCTTGTTTAAGAAGCTGACGCCCTTCATTTCTTTTGAGTGCTGTTCTGTATCTTGAACCTAAAAAGGTAAGTCAAACTGGAGGGCCAACAATGAAAATTGAATGTGTATAGTATAAAAAGGTACATGTATATATTAACAAAGAGTTAACAAAGAATATAAGGGCCCAATCACACCTTACATGATTGGGCCCTTACATGTTTTTCAATTCTTTGTTAAACTATACACATTAAATTTTTATTTTATACTATATTTTAAATTTTATACTATATACATTAAATTTATTATTTATTTTATAAAACCTTATGTGATTGGGCCCTTACAATTCTTTGTTATACTATACACATTTTAATTATTTTTATACTATACACATTACATTTTTAATGTTGGCCCTCTGTTTGGTTTGACTTATCTTTGCCAGTTTTGTTTGACTTACCTTGCCAGTTTGGTGTCGTGGTTAAGTGCGCGGACTCTAATCTGGGAGAACCGGGTTTGATTCCCCACTCCTCCACTTGCACCTGCTGATGTGACCTTGGGTCAGTCACAAGCTCTGGCACAGCTGTTCTTGAAAAAGAGCGGCTTCTGTCAGAGCTCTCTCAGCCCCGCCTACCTCACAGGGTGTCTGCTGTGGGGAGGGGAAGGGAAAGGAGTTTGTAAGCCGCTCTGAGACTCCTTCGGGTAG